ACCTCAAAGTTTGATGCAAAAACGCATGATCGCACCGGCTCGCCTGGTGCGTTCCAGCCTGGTTCATATATGCAAATGCAAAAAAAAATGCATGTTGGCAAGAAGCTGCTTGTACGTCTATGTGTTCGCACTTTTTGTCACATACTTACTACTCGAGAACCAGAAACGCTAAAAGACTGAAACTTCGAGAGTATGTGCTCAACATCTGTGCGATCTCCTGTTTTAATATTATCGCCCGTGAACGCCTGAGCATCATGTACGGACTCTTAAAAAAAATGTGCAAATTTCTTGACAGTAAAGTTGATCGCGAGAATCAGACAAGATAAAGAGCTAAAATTTTCCACGGATGTTCCCCGTGCATGTGTGGGCTGAAGATTTTAAATTCGGCTCTCAGACACTGGTGGTTCTCAAATACGATACGTGGAAGATTTGGCGGGGAAATTGCTAACCAGAACAGCTAGAAGGCTAAAATTTTAAGGATATATTTCCCACCCACGTACAACTTAAAGATTTCAAATTTAGTCCCTCAGTAGACGTGGTATTCAGCAATTTTTTCGCCAAAAATTTTGACGGACCCGTACGTATGAACCACGAACAGTATGAGCGACTGAATTTAAAGTATTTGAACTCTAGTTGGACAGGGGACATCCCCTCAAGATTTCAGCTTTCTAGCTTTTCTGATCCCCGAGACAGCAATATTCCAGCTAAAAATTTTCGCGAGCCCGTGCGTGAGAAACAGTGCACCCCTGGAGGCTGAATTTAAAATTTTTAAATTCCACGATGGTGGAAACACTCCCTTAAAATTCTAGTCTCCCAGCTTTTCTGGTTGCCGAGTTAGCAGTTTTCTTGCCAAACTTTTATCTGCTCGTACGCAGGGCCCAGACGCGCGTGGACCAGGATTTTGCCCTAGCCAAGTGCCACCCAGCGGTCCTGGGATATTGCCCTAGCCAAGCGCCACCCACCGGCAAAATTTTAATGTCAGAGCTTGTTTGGTTCCTTAGACGAAATATCCGAGCGTCGTCACAATATGCATTTTTGCATTCGCATATTTGCAAAAACGCATTACCAGAAAAATAGACTTTCTTTTATTTTAGTGCATAATGATAAACAAATGGAAAGAAGCTATTTTTATTACTATCGTAACGCTGTCACTTTTTCAGGTAATGTGCATATTTTTACAAAAACATTAAAAGAAACATGAGCATAACATTTTTTGCTACTGAAAGACCAATAACAAGTTTAACCACCACGAATGACTGGAAAAATCATAAGCATAAACAACGCAAAAAGAACCATCACAGTCACGACAATAACTTAGTTGACACCGTACCGAGTACCGGTGCGAAGATGCTTTTTTTGCACAGTTTTCCTCAGAGATGTTTGTCATCAATAGCGGTGTTTTTTTTCAGGCAGATGCTTTTGCCTAAACGAGCTCAAACTGGTTACCATATTACCATAAATTATTAAAGTGGTACCCATTAAACACAGCAACAGACAAGCGCAAAAAATTGAGGACCCTAGGTATTTTGGTTGCAGAGTTAGGTTAAAATTCACGTCTTCGCACGTGAGGGAGACCGTGAAGGTTTGTTACGTGTACCCGCTTAGTCGCAGTCCTGGGTCATGCAAAAATTCGGCAATACGGCTGTCCTCTATGCGGGATTAAATTTCAAAACTTGAATGTTGTTTTCACACGTTTCTGCCCAAACATGCTCCCAGGCTTTGATAAGAAAACTGCAGCGTTATGGTTGTTTTGGTTGCGAAATGAAGTCAAAATTCACAAGTTTATACGCGAGATGTGTGCGAAAAACTAAAGAAATGTGAAAGGTGTTTTCACTTCCACCTGCCAAACGCAGTCGTCCGTCGTGCTCAAAAAGTTTCAGTCCACTTGCTGCTTTAGTTCCGAAATTACAAAACTGTCTGCGTCAAATTTCGAGTGCCCGTAAGTGATACGTAGCGAGGTGCGAAAGCTCAGTTTATTCTCACCGAACAGATTAGTGGACGGCAAGCGACGTCGTAAAATTACACCTCTCACCTACTCAGATTAACCCCGAGCTGCGTGAAGCCAATTTAAATTTTGACGCGGACGTACGCAAAACCTAGGGATGCATGAAGACTGTTTTTAAAATCTTTGGTCACATGCAGGCAGAGAACATCTTCATAAGGTTTCAGCCTAGCCTGTTTAATTCCCGAGATCGCCTCCCAGCCAAAAACTTTTGCGTATAGGTACGTGAGTACCAGAAAGGTTGAACGTTCGTTTTATTTGTAGAGACTCGTATGTAAGTCTAGATTAATTTACCAAAGTTTCAGCCTCAAGCTTTTGTAGGTGCCGAGAAGGAAAAACCGGACAGACGTTACACAATAGCACACACACATACATATACAAAAAATCCAAGCAGAACCCTTGGACAACATGAGTTTTTGCATTGCGTATATGGAAAATCGTATTACCGTAACAGCAAGCATGGGCGAAAAGCACTGTGACGATATTAACAGTACTGAGACATGAAAGTTGAGACAACCTTGAAAGTACTGAACTACAAGAGGTTTTTTTCACTTATCCAGTGAAAAATGCATATTTTCGAGGGGTTGTCTGTGTGTGTTAATCTGTGCGTCTGTGTGTGCGTTTGTATCTAGTTTCACCTCGAGATCTACAAAAACTACAAGGTTGAAACTTTGGCAACTTAATCTATACTCATGTGCGGGCTGCAATCATCAGAATGAACGTTCACACCCAAACGGTTCTCACGTTTGGCAGGCAAATTGCTGACCCGGGAACCACAGAAGCCAGAAAGTGGAAATTTTAAGAGATGTTCCCTGTGCACGTTGCACCCAACGATTTCAAATTTGGTTCCCAACTGTGCGCGGCTCTCATGTGCGCGCCCGTTAAAACTTTTGGCGGGTAAGTTTCTAACTCCGGAACCAGAAATACTAGAAAACTGAAGTTTTAAGGGGATGTTTTATGACAGTCGTAGCGGCTAGCCTCTTTTTTTAGCTAGAACCATCTGTCGGAAAAAACAATGCCGTTAACAAAAAAAAATTTGCGGGGAATTGTGCAAAAAAGGCATCTTGACACAGGCTGTCAGCGCGCTGGCCAATTACTTTTTTTCCAGCAGCATCTCTTACCAGCAACATATGCAACAGAGGTAGCCAATACTACGGCAACAACGACTTCAACAACCAGCACCACGTCCACCACAAGCACAACTTCGTCATCAACTAGCACCACGAGCACGTCTACAACGACAAGTAGCACCACAACAACGTCTTCAACAACCAGCAGCACGTCCACCACAAGCACAACTTCGTCATCAACGAGCACAACGAGCACATCTACAACGACAAGTACCACCGCAACAACGTCTTCAACAACCAGCAGCACGTCCACCACAAGCACAACTTCGTCATTGACTAGCACCACGAGCACGTCTACAACGACAAGTAGCACCACAACAACATCTTCAACAACCAGCAGCACGTCCACCACAAGCACAACTTCGTCATTAACGAGCACAACGAGCACATCTACAACGACAAGTACCACCGCAACAACCTCTTCAACAACCAGCAGCACGTCCACCACAAGCACAACTTCGTCATCAACTAGCACTACCAGCACGCCCACAACGACAAGTACCACCGCAACAGCCTCTTCAACAACCAGCAGCACGTCCACCACAAGCACAACTTCGTCATCAACGAGTACAACGAGCACGCCCACAACGACAAGTACCACCGCAACAACGTCTTCAACAACCAGCAGCACGTCCACCACAAGCGCAACTTCGTCATCAACTAGCACCACTAGCACGCCTACAACGACAAGTACCACCGCAACAACGTCTTCATCATCCAGCAGCACGTCCATCACAAGCACAACTTCATCATCAACTAGCACCACGTCTGCCTCATCTACTACTACTGCAATGTCAAGTACCACAGCAACAACGTCTTCAACAGCCAGCAGTACATCCACCACAAGCACAACTTCATCATCAACTAGCACCACGTCTGCCTCATCTACTACTACTGCAACGTCAAGCACCACAGCAACAACGTCTTCAACAGCCAGCAGTACATCCACCACAAGCACAACTTCGTCATCAACTAGTACCACGAGCACATCTACAACGACAAGTGCTACTGCAACAACGTCTTCAACAGCCAGCAGCACGTCCACCGCAAGCACAACTTCGTCACCAGCCAGCACCACGTCTAGTTCAACTACTGCGTCTACAACGACTATTACCACCGCTACTGCGTCTTCAGCCAGCAGCAGCAGCACGTCTACCACAAGCACAACTTTGCCATCGACTAGCACGACGTCCACCTCATCTACTACATCTACAACGACAAGTACCACTGCATCCAGCGTCACGTCCACCACAAGCACAAGTATTACCGCCACAATGTCTTCAACAACTAGTGCTGCATCCACCACAAGCACAACTTCATCGACCAGCACAACTTCCATCACATCTACAGCAGCGACTGCTACTACTTCCACAACTTCTTCAACAAGCAGCGCCGCGTCCACTACAGGCACAACTTCCACCACAGTTACAGCAACGACTGTTACCGCCTCCACAACGTCTTCAACAACCAGCGCCGCATCTACTACAGGTACAACTTCCACCACAGCTACAGCAACGACTGCTACCACTTCCACATCCACAACGTCTTCAACAAGCAGCCCCGCGTCCACTACTGGCACAACTTCCTCCACAGCTACAGCAACGACTGCTACCGCCTCCACAACGTCTTCAACAACCAGCGCCACGTCCAGTACAAGCACAGCTTCTACCACAGCTACAGCAACGACTGCTACCTCCTCCACAACGTCTTCAACAACCAGCGCCGCATCTACTACAGGCACAACTTCCACCACAGCTACAGCAACGACTGCTACCGCCTCCACAACGTCTTCAACAAGTAGTGCCGCGTCCAGTACAGGCACAACTTCCACCACAGTTACAGCAA